GATGACAATTAACATTTTTACTGATTTTCTTTTGAAATGGAACAACGAGCTGAAATTTTAAAAAAAAAAATTTAATTTTCCTATTTAAATAACTGTGCTGCACACACACACCTCTGATCTCTTTTTGAAAAACATTAGTGCTTTTCCCTGAAAATACAGCTTCTACCATTCAGCCTTTAGGCCAGGATATTATAAGTTTTTAAATGTCAAAAGATATTCAGAAGATTAGGCAGCAGAAATAAGTTTTGTGAAAATGCACTTTGACAGAGAGAAAAAAAAAGTCGATATCTATACTAGAGGTCAGTATATTATAATCATTCAGGGGGTTAATCTCTTAAAATCAGTAAAAAAACTGTTTTTGGAAATGTGGCTTTAATGTAGAAGATGCCTTAAAGTAATTGAAAGCTAAAGCTAATGCTTGAGATGTCAGTAAGGGAAGTTATGATGATTCATTTTTATAATATGTGCCAACTCGCAAAAATATTGAGGTAATGTGTGTAAAAAGTGAAAGTATCAAAATAATTGCAGAAACTTACAGTGAAGGGAAAAAATACATATAGAAAAAAGTAATGATACAGAAATCAGTAATGATATGCCAACATCAATCAAATCTAGAAAAACACTGTAAATTCTAAGATATCTTGACTGAAGTGCTGATCAGAAAAAACTAGCAGCAGTTTTATAAAACAGACAGAAATGATAAAACTTCATGAAGAATGCAATTATAAAAACCTTTTTAAATTAAAAAATTTATTTTAAAATTGCATAAATAGCTTAATTTTATTATACATAAGCAAAAATTCTCTTCTTATCGGCTTTCTGACCTACTGCCAGTGGTGAACTGCTTGCAAGCAAATGCTCTTTGAAAAATAATTATATATATTTAAATTATTACCATTTTAAATCATTCAGTAAAAAAAATAACATGGAACTAGAGCAAGTAATAAATAGCAAAATAAATTATTTTCTACAATGGATGCTACAAAGTTAAACGATAATATTAACAATTTCTTTCTAGTTGCAAATTTCACCAAAAACATCATTACTTGATTACATACTTGTAAGCACAAATTCTTGATGAAACTTATTAATTTTATTAAATGCGATTTAAAGGTCACAATATAATCAAAGACCTCATTTTTGATTTTTTGCAAATTTAAATTCTCTACCACTAACAAGCTCATTAAATATTACTGTAAAATCAACTTCCTGCATCCGAACTATGACAACATTCAGTTCAGCAATATTTTCAGAAAATGTCAACAACAATTTCCTACAGCTAAAGCACAAGTCACACCAGCTTTCAAGTATCAAACCTCTTAGCAAATTACTAATTAACCACCATGATCTAGCTTCTACTACCCATTGATACTGCAAAGAACCTCAATATAAAGAATACGTACATGTGTATATCATAAACATATTATTATTGACAATTTAACAATAGTTGAAAACCAACATTTAAGAAATTTAATGAAAAAAGGGCAAAATTTAGACCAATATTGAATACTGACAAAAATCATAGTTTTACATGTTTCGAAAAAATCTCAATGAAGTCATGGCTAAAACTATTTGCAAATTAAATTCTGCCTTTATGGCTTTGAAAGTTCAAGTACTTGCAGAAATGAAGCAAAAAATTCAACGAATTGAATTTAACAGCAATTTACCATGAAATTTTCTCAATCCTGTCATGCAAAATTTGAAAGGAAAATTCTTAATCACCAAAATTGACAAAACTGGTAATAATTTCAGCATTATTTGAATATTTTTTTATGTCTTATTGAAACCAAACTGAATAATGTCATTGCTTACAAACATACCAAAACACAAGAATATATCATAGAAAAAAAACTTAAAGCATTTCATAAAAAGCTACAAATAAAACAACCATCTAACTACAATAGATTAGAAAATCTTTATGTTCTTAAATTCCATAAATCACGGTTCCAATTTAGATATATTGCAAATGGTACAAATAATGATAAAAAGAATATACATTACATCTTTGCAAATAAACTTTAAAAAAATCTGTAATTTAATTCATCAACTAGTTAATAAGCAACACAACTATTGTTAGATTATTTATAATAACGATCCAGTTATTAATTAAATTTAAAAGTTTAAAAATACAGAATATTAACTGCTATGACTTCAAAAACATTTATACTTCTCTACCATTGGACAAAATTTTTACTCTTTTAATGCAACTACCACAACTTTTTTCTGACATGCTAAGCGTCCTCTGAATTGACAAATGGAAAACATACCTGCAATGTGCATTATTTAATAACTACATTAATTTCAATAATAAGATCTTTCAGCAGGTGAGAGGTATCCCAATGGGAACGAACAGTTTTACACAGATCTATAGTCAATTTCTTTTTGCTAATGAATATAAATTTCAACTAGGTTTGAATAATAATGAATTAAAAGTTATTTGCAAATACTTTTAGTAGATCGATGATATTATAACTTTCACAATGATTCTGCTAATGAACAATTCAAAATGTACCCAGATGGTTTAACACTTCATAAAACTGATAGGAATCGGTATATTATTGAATACCTTGACCTGCAAATTCTCACCCACGGCAAAATTAAATTATAGGATAAAAGGAGGTATTTCCAATTTGAGACTATCAAACTAATTAATTGGAACTCTAATATTTCTAAAAAAGTAATAAATAACACTTTTTATAGCCAAAATTAGACTAACAAATATATGTACTGACAATAATAAAGTTAATTAATGTACACGTAAATAATCAGGTCCCAGCACAATTTATTAATTTTTTATATTTTTTTGACTTTTTATGGTATGATAGCATTACCTTAAAACTTAACTGGAGGGTAATGAGAGATTTTGAAGAGTTAATGGATTAATTCTCGTAAATATGTATATTTCTCTTAATTAATACTGGATTCTTTCCTTTTATGAAGGGCCAGCTCGTTTCTTACGTCTCAATTATAGCTCGAATTGAGTGAAGATTTTTATCTTTTCTTAAATTTTCCTTTCCTTTGGCCAGTATTTAGTTAGTTTTAATTTAACTTTAGATTAACTTCAGTGATAAAACATTTTAATGAACTTAATGAATTTAGTTAAATTCATTAAAATGTTTTATTAATTTTTCAATTTTTTAATCATTTTTAATTTCTTTTGTACTTTTATTCAAAATTTGAAAACATTTATGTCATTTCTCACACATTAATTACATTTCTACAATCCTATAGCAGTTAGCGGCTACATTTATTCTTTCTCATTTTTCACACAGAACATCCATTTTACATTACTTCAGAGTTAGCAGCTACATCTTTACAATACCTAACACAGTTAGCAGCTTTACAGTACTCAACTTTACATAGTGTCAACACCCTCTGTTTACACAGTTAGCAACTACAAACTACTTAACCTTACATTGTTTAGCAACTGCTACACAACTCTCACGCATACAGAAATATGTGGTTGCATGGTACATTAAATTGAAACTTGCTATTTATTTGCCTTTTTTGTGTTATTTTTATAGATTGTATGTATTTTATATTATTATTTTCCACTTTTATGATGCTTAGATTAGTATTTTTAGTTTATTTTGGTTTGCATGCATTATTCGTGTCCGGAAAAGTACTTATATAGGTAAGGGTTTCTAAATTACTTTGGATTTGTACTATTTATTACACTGTCTATGTACTTTTAATTAATAACTTGTACTATTTATTACACTGGTTATGTACTTTTAATAAATAATTTGTACTCTTTATTACTTTTGGATTGTACATTTGGATGTGGATTTGTACTATTTATTACACTAGCTATGTACTTTTAATTAATAATTTTGTTTCCTATAATGGATTTGCTTTCTAAAATTCTTGAAATTCGCTTACTACTAAATTTCTCATTTAAACATTTCAGTACTTTTGGTTTGTGTAATTCTTTACCCATGCCTGAACTTTCTACAAGCCTCTTTAATGGAGCCATTCAATCTGTGAAGCAATCAGGCACATGTTATACAACTGCATCTCTAATATATCATTCTTCATCTACTGATGAATACGCTGAAATTTTAATTTATTTGTTCATTTGTTTAACCAAATACGGAAAAACATATGAGAGCTATTAATTTCTGGTGGCAGCTAGAACTGCTGATACCACTTTCGGTAATCAAAAATCGGATAATGTTTACCAGCCTATTCAGTACAGAAGTTAGTGGCACTGTTCGAAATATTATTGGACAGAGGTTCAAATTTCTATTGAAGGCTTGTATGTTAGTTCTGTTAAGCTGTGGAGCTGAAATAAAAATCTGTTGAACTGCAAATCCCCTCGAAAAGTTGATGGCAGAAGAGGAGGGATACGAAATCCTCATATTCTGTCTCCTGTAGATTCTTGTGCAGAAATGGAACTGGACAAAGTCATCTAAAAGTGGCCAAGGCATACACCAATGACAGGTGCCCCCCCCCTTTTTTTTTTTGGCTATGTTGATGAAGATCTGATCTAGACCAGTGTTTCTCAACTGCCGGTCCGTGGACCGACACTGGTCTGCAAGAAACATTTGCCGATCCGCGAAATATCCAGCTATCTGTCCAAAATTCAAAGTGTCATATTACAACAGCACCTACATTATAATAATAATAGTTTACTAGTTTAGATAATAATATGATCGATGATGATTTATTTATGTGAAAAAATTTTGCCAATGGGTCGAATTATTAAACTTGTCCGTGAGAATGTACCGAAATATTTTACCAGTCTTAGACTACAATCAAGTTTAGAAAGATAAGTAATAATAATTACAACAGATAATTTGTCAGCCATCCCTTCTATGCATATTTATATGTGGTATGTCACCTTGAATATTGTTTGTTTACGTCATATACTCCATTAGGCTTATGAATTTACAATCATATTTCCCATTAGGTCAACTCTGAGCATCAGCTACATGATTTTGAAAAAAATCACTGTTAATTTTTTACTGTATCTTATACAAACATAAAAGAATACTTACTAAAGGATGTTTGTCCTTTTCTCGCATTTGTGCAATTTCACTGTAAAGTTTTGGCGCACTAACAGGAACAACATAATTTGTATAACTAACAGGAATACTAATGCCATCATCTATTGAAAAGAACAAAAATTGTGTATCATTGTGTAACTCGATGATAATATTAAAAAATACAAAAATTGTGTAACTAGGTAATAATATTAAAAAGAACTATAGTTTAAACTTTTAGCACTATCACACAGAATCATGTCTTCCAAATTTTGGGGACTGATTTGTTTTCTGAACAAAAACTAATGGCAATGGTTTCTAATATACATCAGTTTGCTTCCCTTAAACTATAATTTGCCTACAAAGGGGGGAGGAAATTTGAATAGAATTCTCTGCTTGATTTAATGCAGATGATATCCGCTATTATGGATTCAATGTTTGAACAGTGTAAAAAAACAAAAAGTTTAAAAGCTGTCTTTGCATAATGATGATTGTCACTGGTATTTGCAGGCTAATTTTTATTCCCTTAAAAAAATAACGAAAAAAAAAAAAAAACACCTTAGAGGGTACCACTGTTCACAGCACTTTAAGAAAACTATAATGAAAAGAAAGTTCCAAGATTTAACTTCTAACAAAGCAATCCAGAAACTCTATGAATGTGTCAAGAGATGTATAGTATTAGAAAGAAAGTATGCAAAAGGCTAAGTAGCATTGTTTTCCATTTTAGATTTCATTCTTTCATGTATTAGTCCTGATATGACCATTAATCAGTACTGAAGTTAATATATCAAAATTTGAAGCATAAATTATATTCTTTGAAAATAGTGCCCTACACAGAATTTTCTCTATACAATTAATTATACCAGAGTTTTAACTGCCACAAAAATAGTATAATTCTAATACTAAATAACCACACTAATGAGCCTTGTTTAAGTTAGAAATGATGAGAATATATATACTTTTAAATATTTATGGCCTTTCTAGTAGTAATGCCTATACACTTCCTCCCTCTTTCTTTTTTGAAATATCTCTTGGAAACAAGGCCAAATCTAAAATGCTAACAGAATTACTTGGCATCTACACAAAGAAAATATTCTTAGTGCTGATCAATATGGTTTCATTGCTCAAAAATGTGCTGAGGATGCACTTCTGCGTCTTAGCAACATTGCACAGAGGGGCAAGACGAGAGGTTTGTACACTATTTTAATTTTTTTTATATTGAAGGAGCTTTCGATAATGCATGGTGGCCTGCTATTCTTAGTTTACTAAAAGAAATGAAAATACCTCATAATGTGTTTAATGTTGTTTCTGATTTGCTGAAAGACAGGACGGTTGAGCTTTTTTTAGGTGGCACCTCAAGTGTTCATCGATCTCAGTGAGGATGTCCACAAGGCTATGTTTCCGGTTATTATGAATGATAAGCTTTGAATTATTATTCTGAATGATCTCTTACAGAAACTTTCTGATCTCTTCAATTGTGAAGTCATTGCCTTTGCAGATGATTTGTTGATTTGTATTCAAGGAAAAGAAATGCAAAAAGCTTTTTGTCTCGCCCAAGATGTTTTAGATTTCATTTATCATTGGTCAATAGATTTTAAGTTAAACTTTAACCATGCAAAATCCAAGACCATGTTTATTGATAGAAAATATACTACTTATGAAGGATATCGATTGCTTTTAAATGACAATCCCCTTGAGAGGGTGAATGAAATTAAATATTTAGGTGTTTTGTGACAGCAAATTTAACTAAATGTGAGGGACTTCAGCGTGGGCTGAATCGAATTGCATGTAATAGTTTTGGTGTTAAATCGAATGTTAGTGCAATTATTTATAAACAAGGCATTGTACCCTTTATTTCATATGGATGTAGAGCTTGGGGATTGTCTTATAAAAAGAAAATTAACTCTAAACGCCTGCTTCGAGTTCAAAGACGAATTTTGCTGCAAGTTATAAGGGGTTACCAAACTATTAGTTACAATGCTGTTTTCTCTCTTGCCGGATTTCCACCCCTGGATTTGTTTATTCTGACCTTTATAGATTACAAGAATAGTCTTGCAAATTACTCCAATTCTCATTTTGATCGTTTATTGCCTTTGTCTGTTCTACCACATCCTTCTGTAAGACAACCAGTACAGATTCTGGATAGTATGGACACTGATGTAAATTCATTCTCATTTGTGTTGTATACGGATGGTAGCAGGATTGATGATAAAGTTGGTTTTGCTTATGTTATTTTTGAAGATGATATTGAAATTGAGTGTCACCAATTTTGCATTAAAAATGAATGTACTGTATATATTTCTGATCTTCTGTGTATTAATTTTGCAATCAAGTGGATAATTAGCCAGGATCAGGGTTTATAGCCACATTTTAGTTAAAAAAATAAGCACCTATAAGCACTTTTCAAGCACATTTTAAGAAAAAAATAAGCACCTGTATAATTACATTATACACAACTGCATAACCTTAAAAATTAGACTTGTAATTTAAAATATGAAAAATGCAGTATTTATTAAGAGACAATAAGCATTACTTCAACTATGGAAAATAATTAATTTTTTTTTTTTTTTAATTTTAAATAAAATTTCAATTTACAGAACTAGTTTACAATGAGAGAAAAAAAAAACTATGCAGAACTAAACTATATCACAAGATTTAATGATGAAATTTCAGTTCAAAATAGAGAAAATAAATAATAATAAGGCATATTTATTGTATTCGCTTGGAACCTAATAATAAACACAATTTATTTTTCTACTCATATTGATATTTAAATAATTTAAATCTAAATTCTGAACATTTTCTAAATTTTCATTGTATATCAGTTTTCCCTTAACAGATATTGCAAGCAAAGTAATTTAAGTAAAAAAGAGGAACATTTCTGAAATCAGAAGACAGAAATTTGCTTCATGCAGTCATCCTTTAACAGTAAAAGCTTAACTAACATGCATACTTGGAAATTCGCGAATATTCGTACAGTCGATCGTAACTTGAAAAAGAGGAGCGGAGGGGGGGGTGTAGACAGTAGCAGCTCTTTAGATTTTTCCGCTAAATAAATGCTTTTGACATTTCGATATGTGCATCATATAAAAATTAATTAATGGAACTGAAAAATATTCTGCTTAGAAAGCACAGTAAAACTCTTTTAAGTGTTCATAAACAAATCTCGGACAGAACATCAAAATTAATTATCTCTGCAAAATATCACAAATGTTATTGCGCAATATGTGTGCGGTAATTCTCCCCTACGTGATATTACGCAATCGGAATCAACAGCTGTCGGTATTGGAAAAATAAATAACTGGGGTGTTTTTCATTCTAATTTTCAACAGGCGGCATTAAATTTCCGGAATAGAATCATTCTTCGCTTGGGTTGGTAGATCGCAGCACTTTTAGTCCTATTCAATCCAGATTGGAAAATAACAAAAAAAAAATGGCCGTTGCTTGTTTTGCAGCGAACTGTAACAGTTTCAATATTCAAGATTTTGCGGAGAAAGGGGAGAACCTCCCAATCTTCGTACTGTATAATGTATTGGCCAAAAAAATGAAATTACTTTGACTATTCGATTACTTTCCCTTTATTTAAGCCATTCCGAATATTATTCCTTAGAAAGCCAATTTGTGTCAAAACACAACCATTTTTGGAAGTTTACTATACTTCAGCAGTTACTGCAACTATGTTATTATAAACATTCATACATATGCTCATAATATAAGCATAATGATCATAATAAACACAAATATGAACTGACCAAGCAGAACGAGAATGCAAATTATTAAGATTTGATAGAAATTAAAAACGTGTGTAGTATTCGGGTGGAAGTAAAAGAATGCCGAATGTACCGGAAATTTCTACTGCTTGAGCAATTCTTTGACCAATAGAATGACGGGCACCTGTCTGTACTCTTCGTGAACACCAAAGGTTATGTTAATGCAGAGAAAGGGGGAAATGCTATTTCCGGGCCGGAAGTATGATTCACCATCTGACATTTCACATTAGGAAGAAAAGTTGTTTATTTAGTTTCGGCTTTGGTACGGGGAAAAATAGCCCGTTCATTAAAAAAAAGCACTAAAAGCAAAAAATAAGCACTAAAAACAAAAAATAAGGGCTTAAAAGAAAAAGTAAGCACCTATAAGGGCCTTTGTATTTTTATTTTCAAATATAAGGACTTATAAAGACCGCTACGAACCCTGCAGGATGGATGTGGTTCCAGCTACTTAATCTGTACGGATTCACTCTCTTCCCTGGAATCTCTTAAAAATACCTCTTTATGTAATGATATTATTGTTAATATACAGCAGTATCTTGGAGATCTGGAGAAGAAGGGTATTTCAGTGTTTTTTACATTTGTCCCTGGTCATTCGGGTAATTATGGAAACGAGAGAGCTGATTGGCTTGCTAAGAATGCAACTAAAAATGATATTAATGTTGATGTAAATATTCCAAAATCTTATTTTAAAAAAACATTCAAAGCTAAAATGATTGAGCGGTGGAACTGTGATCATATCTCTTCTGATAAGGGATCTGTTACAAAAACATTCTTCTCAACTATTTTTGAAAGACTGAAAAGTAAGGACTTGTTGCTCAATTTTAAAGTATACAATTTTTGTCTGGACATGGTAAGTTTAATGTTTATCTTGAACGATTTAAGCTGACATCTTCCAATTGGTGTAATTGCAATCTTAGCGTTCAGCAAAGTGTTTTCCACCTGCTTTTTGACTGCCCATTGCTTGATAAAATAAGAAATCTATTGAAATGTAGATTAAAATTAGTTAGAATTCATTGGCCACCGAAATGCTATGATTTTGTATCTTCGACTTTTTTGTTGACTTTTTATTTAAACATTGTTAATGATTTTTTATACATTTTTATACTTTTGTATTTTTTTTTTTTTTAAATCTTTGTGTATGATTTCATTGTATTGTTGAAAACTGATGATATTACTTACAATTTTGCCTTTTTTACTTACGATTTGTAAGTCTTGTGTGATACTTTGTGGTGCACAAGGATTTCTTTTTCTTAAATAAAAAAAAAAATCTGAAATGCTCAGTGTTTCTATATACCAGTGATTCTCAACCTTTTTTTTTGCAGCACACTTTTAACCTATTTCCAAATTTGCCGGCA